AAAAATATTCTCGTACGAATCAACAAAAAAATTGCTTTTTCTAGAATTGGTGCTAAAGTGTGGAAAAGCGTTCCGTTATATATTCGTAATTTAGGAAGAAAAATGTTTTCTAAAAAGATTCATGACTTACTTCTCCGGATTCTGGTAAATGAGAAGGACTATCCTGAGATATCGATGATTATACAAAGATTGTCTGAATGATCCTTGTTGTGTTGCGTGATAGATTGAAAACAAATTGAAGGTTATTATTTAAGATATATACTGTTATTATTATTATTATTTTTAATATTCTAAGGAAGAAAGACACTATATTACCATCTTTCAACATGACGCAATGCCTATCCCACTTCACTAAGACCCTTGCTGCAATTCATCCAAACAAATTGTTTAATATTCCTAGCTGGATTCCTGCGTTGTCTGACCCCGAAGTTCAATTTGACCTTGACCCCCCATCGTATCAACAAGTCACGAATATAATACGCAGAACGAAGGCATCTGGCTCTCCATGTCCCCTTGATCAGCTATCTATTATATGTTTTAAACGCTGTACTTTCCTAAGAACATATTTAACTGACCTTATTCGTGCCGTGTGGCTATCTGGAACCATCCCTTCAGAATGGAAGAAAGCTTGCACAATACTAATCCATAAAAAAGGCGATACTAATACCCCCGTCCAATTTCCGACCCATCACACTGGAGACCATACCATTAAAAGTATTCACTTCCGGCCTACGTAACGCTATGTATTCATTCCTAACCGTTAATAACTTTATAGAACATAATATTCAAAAAGGATTCACACCTAACATGTCTGGCACCTTAGAACTTACTGCACAAATGGCCAATATAATCAATAAAGCCCGAATCAAACAACGCTCACTAGTCATCACCCTACTTGACCTCAAGAATGCTTTTGGTGAAGTTCATCATAATCTGATCACATCCGTACTTGATTACAACCATATCCCTGAACATGTTAAATTGATAATTAAAAGTCTATATACCGATTTTAAAACTTCAATAATTACATTTGAATTCCGTACCCCCTTCATACCAGTTCGCCGTGGAGTATTGCAAGGTGATTGCCTGAGTCCTCTTCTCTTCAACATGTGTTTCAACACCTTTATACAACACATAAAAACAGATAAATATCGTCAATTCGGCTTCTCCTTACAGTTTCTAAATCCCATCCACTGGTTTCAGTTTGCTGATGATGCCGCCGTCATAAGTAGTCAAGAATCCGAAAATCAACATCTTCTAAACCGGTTCTCCATTTGGTGCCAATGGTCCAACATGATTATTCGGGTTGATAAATGTAGTACCTTTGGCATCAAAAAAGCTCTAGCAAAATCAATCCAATACCTGCCTAAACTACTTATTAACAAGCAACTAGTTCCAAAGATCAATATCGGTAAGGCTTTTCAATACTTAGGAAGATACTTTAGTTTTAATATGTCAGACGAACACCACAAGTCTGAACTAATCTCACTCGTTGAAGAACTAATGGCAAATATTGATTCCAAACCATTACATCCAAAAAATAAAATCCTCCTCTACAGTCGATATCTTCTGTCAAAATTATCCTGGCATTTTACAGTTTCTAGCGTATCGAAAACGTGGGTCACCGAAAACATTGATTCCAAAGTCAACAGTTATATCCGTAAATGGCTTGATATACCTATATCTGGAACGCTAAGTACTGTTTTCCTAACCCGCAACAAGTTTGGCCTCAGTATTTGTCCCCCATCTGTCAAATTTATTCAATGTCAAACTGTTCTCCGCACAGCCCTAAAAACATCCCCAAACGAAGCAATTAACGATCTTTGGAAAGCAACTAGCAACAGCAAAAATATTCAGTATGACGTTTATAACTCCACTAAGCAAGTTCTTAAGGACTTTCGCTCTGGACAAGAGGATAAACTGCATACTCAATTAACCTGTCAAGGCTCTTTCTTCACTAATATAACAAAGTTCTCACTGTCCCAACTCACTAAAATTTGGTCTGCGTGCCAATCGAACCTTCCGAAAAATATATTCAACTTTACAGTTCGATACATCAATAACTCTCTTCCAACGCGCCAAAACCTTGCAAGATGGGGTTTATCACCGACTTCAGACTGTTCGCGATGTCTAGCTCCTGAAACACTTCTGCACGTAGTAGCTGGTTGCCAATCGTATCTAGAACGATTCACGTGGAGACAAGACTCCGTTCTAAACTTTCTCGCAACAAGCCTGCAGACCGTAAGCGGCTCACATCTTTACGTGGATCTCCCAGGGTACAAAAGTCCATCAATCATCACTGGTGAACCTACCGTCCAGATTTGCTTCTGTCAACCTCAACCGGAACACTCTGTATTGTTGAACTTACAGTTGGCTTCGAATCAAATCTTCAAAAAAACATTGAGCGTAAAAATCAAAATATAAAGAATTAATTAGGGAACAAAATGAACATTTCAACTCAGTAAAATTTGTAAATCTTTCGATTAGTTCTCCTGGTGTTTTCAGTAAAGAATGTTCTACTTTCATAGAAATGCTTAATGATTTTGGTTTTCAAAAGCAACATCAGAATTACTGTATTAGAAGAATGACGACGATTGCAATTCGAACAACGTATTATATATTTTGTTGTCGAAACAAGGAATGGATGAATCCGGAACTGTTAAGTGTTTAAACGTTGTACTGTCATTTTGTTATTTTAATAGTATAATTTTTGCATATATAATCAGTGATTTAAGTAGCCAGTTGTAAATTACCTGATATAAGTGAGATTTGCAATTGTATATATAAGCTAAATATCCATTTAATAAAGTTTTCATTATTATTATTATTATTATTATTATTATTATTATTGTTATTATTATTATTATTATTATTATTTATCATTATTATTATAACACCGCCTAGATTAGCTATTGCTATTTGCGGGTTATATTCATGGCCAGAAATGACGGACATTGTGCAAGCGTACCAATCGGTCAGCGGCTTTTCCGTTTATCCACAAGAATTCCTAATTATCCTTTTACGACCTATCAAAGCATCCGGAATTTCAAATATTCGCGTGGGTGTTGTTTATAAAGCAAAGCATGAAGTATGCACTCAAGTTGTGGCCTTTAGTGTACCAGGCTCAGCTAAGCAATGACTACGGGAACGAAACTAGAAGCTTTCGACGAGTATTTTGGTACCAAACATGTAGCAAGGCAATCAATATTTCGAGTTTGGCAAGCGAATGGAATATCACTTTTCGACGGAGAAGTAATATTATAATATGCATATTAACGCACCGGCTTGCGAATTTCAAAACAAAAACTTTTATCGGGTGTAACAATATAATAAACGGCGGAAGGCAAGTCTATACTATTCGTCAAAATAAAATGATTTCAACAAATTTTGAGAAATGAATATATTAGATATAGCCTTTTGAGCGAGAAACCTTTATAGATTCCTATGTAAAGTGAGGTAAAATGTTGTAATATTCAATCGCAAAAAGAAGAGCGAGTATGCAAAGAAATGAGAACTTTTTTTCTTAATGTGTTGCTATACAACCGCTACTTCTGGAACCAATTTCAACAAATATTCAAAGATTTATATATAGCATGCTATATTGAAAATACTCTGATCGCCTGATAATAAACATAGGGCATTGCGCAGCCATTGTTGCATGGGTGCTCATGGTAACGTGAAACCTGAGAAATGAAAATGTCCGTGATTTCTGGCCACGGTTTGTTAAAATATTTTCGGTTACTGAATATAGACCATGGGATTCACAACAAGTGAGTCTCACAAAGAGGGACCAAACAAAACCAAATTAAATCGTCCTATCAAGGCCTATGTTACGCGAAACTGGCAGGTAACAAATCCAAATACCCGGCTTTTTGATAAAAATAACCCAATGTGTGATTTCGCTTATTAGCTAAGACAAGTGAGCCAAGAAATGCTCATATCACGATCTTTGAATGATCATTTTTTTTTACTAATTCCTCAAACAACTTCAATTATAGTTTAAAAGCACTAGAACGACTCGCGATTATGATAGAAGATATATTTTACACTCCATGAATGGTGAAAACAAAGTTTTGGCACAAAAAACCCTAAAATATCAATAATTCAATGCCTACTCGAATTTTTCTTTACTCAGCCCAAGTTTTATTAAATTTAGATCAATCAGATAGCTTGTGGTTTATGTGTTTAAGATTGAATTTTTTTAATTAAGGTAACTAAGACACAATAAGCGGAAAATCGAGTGTAGAATTCACACTGTATATAGTATAAAATATCTTTATTTTATCAACACACTTTGTTTACTATCTACAAATATTTTTCGTTCGATCGAGAGACCTAATATGGTTCTAACATGATGTTTATCATAAATTAGTTGTCTGACCAAGCCGCTGACCAGGTTATATTTTTTCCCTTACAAGGCCCCCCCCCCCAGTGCGGTAACGGTAACGTCTTGGTAAGCGTACCGTACGGCCAGAACGTGTCGTTAAAGATGGTGTTGGCAGTACCGTTGGCAAGAGTGGTTCAATTGCATCGGCAGAAACAGGTGTCATGGGATGTGTGGTTGGCTTGAGCGGTGGGTCGTTCCTTTTCTCAAGGAATGCTGGCTTGAGCCTGTTGATAGAGACTGTATCACGGCACCCATTCGTGTTGAGCGTAAAGAACTTGTCAGTGCGTTGGATGACTAGGAATGGGCCGTCGTAGGGTCGTTGGAACGTACTTTTGACTGCATCGTGCCTAACGTAAACATGTGTAGCTTGTTGTAATGCACGCGGTGTATAAGATGGAGGCAAACCGTAGTTTTGTGGGGGAACAGGACGTTGCTGGTGCATTGTATCCCGAGAAGTAAAATGAGAGATGACCAGAGTTTGGATTCAAACTGCCGGCCACGATCCGACATTATGCCCCTGGGCAGGCCAAACCGTGATTTCCAACCATGTAACAGAGCATGTGCACAGCTTTCCGCTGTCATGTCGACCATCGGAATAGCCTCAATCCACCGAGAGTAGCGATAAATGCATGTGAACAGGTAGGTAAACCCTCGAGACAGCGGAAGTGGGCCGACAATGTCAACCTAAATCTCAGCGAAACCTGGGATATCGAACTTCTGGAGCGGCGCTGTAGTATGACGATGAATTTTAGATTGCTGGCAAGCATTGCAAGTTCGAATCCACCGTCGAACATCACGATTGAGACCGTTCCACACAAACCGAGCGCTGACGAGCTTACAGGTGGATCTAGCGCCTGGATGGAAAAATTATGCATCAGGTTGAATATCTCGCGACGAAAAGACTCTAGGACTACTGGTAGAATATTACCCTGAGATGAGTCGCAGAGAAGTGTAAGGTTGTCATCGCCATCAAGGAAAACATCCACTAACTTTAAATTTGTTATGCCAGCTTTCAGGCACTGGGTTTCATGATCATCAGCTTGTGCTTGAGCCATTGCCAGAAAGTCAATTTTGGTATAGGAGGTGGCATTGATTTGGATTCTGGAAGACGCGTCTGCCACTGCGTTATTCTTACCCTTGACGTGTCGCAGGTCGGTGGTAAACTCAGAAATAAAAGCCAACTGCCGGATTTGCCGTAGTGAGCGTTAGGTTGACCCACTTGAGATTGCAAAAGTCAATGGTTTGTGATCAGTGTACACGTGGAACACACGATCTTCGATAAACCACCGAAAATGACGAATGGCTAAGTAAACGCCTAGCAGCTCTCGGTCAAACGTACTGTAACGTGTTTTTAAAAGCCCGCTGTAGCTTGCGAGAAAAGAAGCCGATGGAGCGCCACTCATGATCGATAAATTGTTCAAGGACGGCTCCCACAGCTAGATCTGAGGCATCAGATGTTATACTGGTTGGTGCATTATAATGCGGATGAACCAACAGTGTTGCACTAGCTAGGGCGGATTTACAGAACTGGAATGCCTCCTCGCATTCTGGAGACCAAATAAAATTGGTAGAGGATAATAGTTTGTGCAGAGGATGTAGCCTGTGAAACTTCTTCTTGTCAACAGGTTGAGGAAATTCTGCAACAGCTTGGATGCGGGATGAAAGAGGGGAAATCCCTTGGGCATTGACATGATGACCTACGAATGATAACTGTGAACGGCCAAGCTAAGCTCACACTTCTTAGGATTAATGACTAAGCCGTAATGCTCCAGTCGCTGAAAAAGCTGGCGCTAATGGTGGCGATGTTGATCGGGCGTGGTGCTGAAAACCAGGATGTCGTCAATGAATACAAACACAAATCCCAGGTCACGGCAGACTTCATCCATGAATTGTTGGAATGTCTGGGCCGCATTGCGCAGTCCATATGGCATACGTTTGAATTCAAGAAGGCAGAATTGTGTAATGACTGCTGTTTTAGAGACATCCTCAGGAGCAACAGGAATTTGGTGGTATGCACGAACCAGGTCAATCTTGGATAAGATTTTACAACCAGCAAGGCGAGCAGAAAAATCCTGAACGTGAGGCACAGGGTCTGGTTTAGTGGCTGCATTGAGAGCTTGATAGTCACCACAGGGGCGCCAGTCACCGTTCGACTTTGGGACCATATGAAGTGGGGATGCCCAGTTATTTGATGATTTGCACACCGTGTGAGAAGACAGCATCTGGTCAAACTCGGTTTTTGCAGCTGCGGATTTTTCAGGAGAAAGGGGTCCAGCCTTCGCAAAAGTGGGCGGTCCAGCCGCGATAATATGGTGCTGAACATTGTGCTTAACAGCTGGATCGGTGATGCGGAGTTTACAGACTACTGGAAACTCAGCAAAAATGGTATCAAACCCATTGGTGGGTTTAGCTAGCGGTATGCGATTGAGAGAAAGGGAACGGAATGGTGAGGTCTGTGCAGGTACAATCATTGATGTTGCTGCTTCTACGAGACAAGAGTTGGCAACATCAACCAACACCCGAATATACCGCAGGAAGCACCTAAAATTGGTTGGTTCACTTCTGCAATGAGAAAAGAACACTTCAGCTGCCGGTGAAGACCAAGGTCCAGGCAAAGTTCACGCTTGCTATAGGTATGAATTGTCGAATTGTTAGCCGCGGTCAGAGAAACCCCCTTTCTGCAATACCGCTTGTCATGTTGTGTAGCTGGGAAAACACTGACCTTGGCACCTGTATCAATTAGAAACCGAGTTTTTGAATGTTTGTCCGTCACATACAACAGGTGGCTTGAGCAAGCCCAAGTCACGTGCGCCTCTACTGGTGATCGGGCTTGTCGTTTCCCGGCGCGGTATAGGTACAGGGTTGACGACATTTTGAAGCCTGTGTACCAAATGGGGTGTGATACCAACAGAGACCTTCCTTGTCGAACTTGGGATCAGCAGCAAGTTTCCGTGCTCCAGTGTCAAGAAGCTTGAGAACTTTATTGAGATCAGATCTGATTGATGAGATTTCTGCTGACTCGGGTGTTTCAATCTGGGCAATGGATGGGCAAGCATCGCTTAGCTCTATCTTTCCATCAGCCATCAATGCTATAAGTCAGCCAACGGTTTGTCTGGATATGATAACAAATCAATCTGGACATTCGAAGGCAGGCGCTGTAGGAAAAGCTCACGAAGAAGCTTTTTGCCGGATGTACCATGTAATTATTGAAAGCGTCGGAGCAGTTGCGATGATTTTGGGTCCCCTAACTCTTCAGCCTGTAAGAGTTGTTGGATCTTTCGACGCTTGGAAAGGGACACTCGCTCGGTGAGTGTAGCTTTAAGTACGTCGAACGGATTCGTAGGAGGAGGCGTAAGGATCAGGTCGCGAACCTCAGTGGCAGCTTTGGTCGATGAAGCCGCGACAACATGAGCGAATTTGGTACCTTGTGATATCATATTCTTCACCGAAAATTGCGCTTTGACTTGTGCAAACCAGAGCTCTGGGTCGGAAGGCCAAAATGGCGGAATTTTAACTGCCACCGCGTTCGTAGCTACGACGTTCGTAGCGGCCGTAGGTGGCGGAGTTTTGTTCGAGTTGCTTGATGAAGAAGGAGTCTGTTAGTATTATTGAATATCATTCAGTCGGACCACGGATATTTGAGTTTATGATCTACATTTCGTAACAACAACAACGTAAACAGTAAAACCATGTGTTAAAAGCAATATATAAAAGATGGCGTGACCTAGATATGACGTGACCTAGATATGACGTCACGTGCAGTTCTAGTTTTTTCGCATACATTAACATAATATTGACAGAGTCGTCATAATGATGAAGTAAATACGGGGTCACCAATGTAGAATTCACACCGTATATAGTATAAAATATCTTTATTTTATCAACACACTTTGTTTACTTTTTACTTCTTTGTTACTATTTAAGTTTATCATAAATTAGTTCTGTCTGACCAAGCCGCTGACCAGGTTATATTTTGTCCCCACACGAGTTATATTAATTGCGAAAGAAACATTAAAATATGTAAATTAACCTACCTGTTTTGGCAGCCATTTTGAAAACCGTGTTATCGGGGCCTGGTAGCTATTAAGACCTAGGCTCCCGTGTTTGTAGGAGTATAAAAATAGCCTATAAAAAAACTAGTTTTTGCCATATTTTGTAAAATAGTGTAAAAAAGTAAAAAGCAAATAAGTGTGGTTATATTCAATTCATTTTTAAACATCGTTTTGAACGTTAGTGAAAGCAGACAAGTACTTTACACAATTTTAACAAGGTGAAATCACCCCAAAGACGTTACGGTTAACCATTGGTATTTCGATACATAGTTTCCCGAGAGATATTTTTAAAAGGTTCATGTCAAAGCAATGAGCCACGGGCTTGGAAAAATAAAGGATAATAAATATTTAACTAGTTCCGTTTTCAAACCTTATAATGTATTAATCTTGTCACTTACCAATACATTGCATTTAAAATGTCATGATACGACATGATAGCCTGGTATCCGAACTTGTTACCTGCTTTTTTCGAACTCTCCATACAATAAGTGTTATTAAAATTGCAACTATTTTTGGTCCCTTTTTGAGAGACTCAAAACGACTTATTTGTTGCGAATCCCATGGACTATACCGTCGAAGTAAACAATTTAATCAAGTATTTTAAGTATTTTACCTTTTGATAAGAAGATATATTCTTGAATGGAGACATTTGCCTTGCTAAGTTTAAAATTGGTCCAGAAATCCCGATATATTTGTGAAATATCATCATATACAGGTATTTTGAGATATAATATTGTTGTCAGATGCATGATAACTTCAGATCACTGTTCAATATTGTCTACTTTTAATGGCGCTAACAAGCCTAACATACAAAGCGATGAGCTGTTTAGGGATTATATTTGTTACTAAATTTACCAAAATAATTAGAACTACAACTGCTGTTTTCAGAGGTTTTGTTCCATTTTGTCCATATTATTAAATTAATGTACCAGTTATGTATCGACTATAATGTTTACGAAGACGTAAGTTAATTATTAAGCAGGTGTTAGCGTGCGTGACATGAAATGAACGTTTATAATGTTTATCATTCATCATGATTAGGGACGCGAAACTCGTCTTAGACGGAAACTCGTCTGTGAAAACCCGCCTGAATATGAATTTAGGGACGGATAATTTCGAATTTAAGACGAGTTTCCCGTCTAATACGAGTTTCCCGTCTCTAATATGAATTCGGCTAATGTGTGTTAAAACTGCAAGGTCATTAAATCTCATTAAAATCCCACAGACCACAACGATTATACGTATTGATTGTTTCTTGACGATAGTAGACGCGTACGCATACATGTTGCGTAAGAGGTTATTTCGCTGGCCTCAGAATGACAAAACGTAACAAAGCTTTACACTAACCCTATTCCAAACACCAACTTTATAACTTAAATCCCTACCACCATAACCCTTGCTCGTTATTAAATAACATACCGTAGTAAATAATTTAATCACCATTTCTAAGTCTTTTACTTTTTCGGGACAAAAAACTACTTGAAAAAGACCAGGGCTTTAAAAATTATTTGAAGTAGATAGTTATGATAAGACAGGGGTGGCGCCAGGGCCGCCCTTGCAGGGGGGGGGGGCAAAGGGAGCAATTTTCTCCGCGACCCCAGCTCAAGGAGGGCCGGCAAATACAAATTTGCAAGGGGGTAAAAAGTTTGTCGACGGAGGGGTGGGAGGGGAATTATTGTGGTTCACCGGGGCCCCAAAGATATAATTGGCCCTGGGCCCCCATATTTCACTGAGCTGGCCTGGGCTGCGCCAGTAATTCTCCGACGGGGGAAGTCATCGGTGCTCTCTTTCGTTCTTTGGCAATTGGCATTAAAACCACAAGAACTACCGACAAGTGACCAGGGCCGGATTAACGTCGCGCGAGGCTCGTGGCAGATTTTAGCGCGAGGCCCCCAACCCCCTCCCCCCCCCACTCTCCGCCTTGTTATGAAAACCTTTGAATTTAAAGACACACAAAATTGTTAAATAATTTTTTTCAATATTTCAATTTATTAGCATCAATTATAAACGAGACAATGGCCTGCCTGGCCGAGTCGTTGGGTCAACATGTATAAACAGGATCATAATATAACAGCTCAACGCAACTGGAGATTATATGCACACGAGTATTGCATATCTTCCCAGGGCCGTGCTGGGGCCAACTGTCAAGCCTAGGGGCCCTAAATTCGCGAGGCACCTAAAATGGGTGTGTCCCAATAGAAAATGGCCGTGTTCTCGTAAAAATGGGCGTGGCACAGTAAAACGCAATGCCCCCATAAGCACGAGGCCCGTGGCATTTGCCGCATCTGACACATGGTTAATCCGGCGTTAAACGAGCAACAAGCTTCCATTTTTTTTAAACGCGACGTGTGGGGAGACAATAATAATTTCTGGTGTCGCACTGGGGTAACATATCTCAATGCTGTATTTTTGGGTTACTAGTACTTGTGGAATATAATAAGATCAATAAACAATAGTGTATCAAAAGAAAGTAATTTTACTGATTATTTTAACTGAGCATCAAAGTGAACACACATTAAAATAATTATTCTAAACTATTTGCTATAAATAATTTGAGTTTGAGGTGGTAGAATATGTAATAAAACTAGAAAATACATGCATGCAGAAACCGTCGCCTTGCTGACAAAACCATTTTATTTTCCGAACGTGAAGTATTTTAAGTAGTTGTCATGGTAACACGATAATTTTTTAAGAATATTTTTACAAATAAAAAATCCCCTATAAATATCACTTTTAATTACAAAATTATCTATTTCCTAAACATATATATGTTAGGTATGTTATTATACGTAATATATAAAGCTTGAATTTAAGGTAAAATTCAACCACAAACTCTTCGCAAAACGTTTTAAAATGTTCTTTTACTATAGAACTAAACTGCCTTTATCGATAAACTTTGAGTTCGAAATAAAATGATTCCAAATTCTCCCATGCAAATAACTTTGCTCAGTATAATAAAAAGTGTAATCAATAAAGAAACACTGAAATAATACGCTGTCTTGTTTCATATTTATACACAACGATCGGCTTTTAAAGTAATTACAGTAGGTATGTTATTATACGTAATATAAGCTTGAATTTAAGGTAAAATTCAACAAAAATATATCCGTCGTATTTTAAAAAGCAGAAAGAAACTAGCCCTAAAAACAACATAAATATAAACAAGGATAATTTTACTAACCTGTCTGTAACTTTTTTTGTCAAAGTACAGCTTAAATGTAACGTTGATAAATTTACGAAAGTTTACGGTGTTTTGTCGATATTTTTCGCTGTGACTATGCGGGATGCTCGCATCCTGCCACTGGACAAATTTTTCAAAATAAAACTCATTTTTCAAAATAAAAATTTGTCCAGTATAGCAGGATGCGAGCATCCCGCATAGTCACAGCGAAAAATATCGACAAAACACCGTAAACTTTCGTAAATTTATCAACATTTAAAGCTGTACTTTGACAAAAAAAGTTACAGACAGGCTAGTAAAATTATCCTTGTTTATATTTATGTTGTTTTTAGGGCTAGTTTCTTTCTGCTTTTTAAAATACGACGGATATATTTTTGTGTGTAGTTCAATCAGTTCAAACCCCTTGCCAACCTTAGGTATACTTATACGTCAGTCCGCCGATAATGCAATCGAGTGGCGATTTAATATAAGCTACATTTCGCAATATATTTCGCTAACTTGCGATTATTTTCGTTAAATTTTATAATTTCACTGCAGTTTTAATTTAAATTCAGTCGTTTAGTGGGCTGCCTATGCAACGATCGGCTTTTAAAGTAATTACAGTAGGTATGTTATTATACGTAATATAATCTTCAATTTAAGGTAAAATTCAACCACAAACTCTTCGCAAAACGTTTTAAAATGTTCTTTTACTATAGAACTAAACTGCCTTTATCGATAAACTTTGAGTTCGAAATAAAATGATTCCAAATTCTCCCATGTAAATAACTTTGCTTAGTATAATAAAAAGTGTAATCAATAAAGAAACACTGAAATAATACGCTGTCTTGTTTCATATTTTATATATGCAA